CTCCGAGAGCTTGAGCTGTGCAGGGAGAAGCTACAGCACTGGTGCCCAGCCTCCAAGCTGCCCTCCTCCACCCCAGGACCCCCGACTCAAGCCCCGCCACCCTTCCTCCCTCCTCCCTCCTCCCTGTGGGCCCAGCGGGATCTCATGCCAGAGGCCTTGGTCATGGTTCCCGAAGCCTTGGGCTCAGCCCTTCCCATTCACGTGCTGCTGAATCATTTGAAAAAAATGCATCCCGATCCTGGGAGGATTTGCTGAGAACAGTGCGGCTTTGTGGAGGGAACTGCTGCTCTGCACTTTCTCCGCCAAGCCCCTGAGGAGGAGCCAAGCTCAGCCCTGCAAACTGCAAACCCCAAGCCCGAAGCCCGGAGCCCGGAGTGGGGGCAGGAACAGGAGTGGGGCAGGGCAGAGGAAGAGGGAGCCTGGAGAGGTGCTGAGGGAGCCCCTGGCCGCCCCCTGCGATCCCTCCCCACTCACAGGCTGAGAGGGGCACGCAGAGGCCAGGACAGCTCAGAAGTGAGGGCAGCAGACGAGGGTCCTGTCCTCACACTGGCTGGTGGGCTGTGACCACGGGCAGGTCTCTGCTCCTCTCCAGGCTGCCTCATTTTCAGGAGCAAACACATGCGGGCTGGGCTCACGGCTCAGGCCCCTGTCAGCACAGACAGCACAGCAGCAGTGGCCCTTGCGTGGGACTCTGAGGCATGCAGTCTGCGGGCTGACCCCAACCCACTGCATTTCTCACGGGACCGATACAGGGATGTAGGCTGGAATCCCAGGGCCCACACACCCAGCTTTCTACGTGGAGAGAACCCAAGCGGGCATGCTGGGCAGTTCACGCCCCCCTCCTCTTTCTCGTTAGCCTTGCAAATAAGACCCCAAGTTACAGCCCACCTGCCCCTTGGAGCTGGTAGCATGTGGTGGTGTGCAGTCAACGCAGCCCTCTGTGCCAGCCTGGGACATGTCCTGGGCATTACAGGACCTGTGAAGAAGGCTGCCCTTCTACATAAACCCTCCACGGCATGACAGAGGGAGGAGGGCAGACGCAAGACGCCTTTCCCATCTCCGGGGCCACTTTCCGTTCATTGAAAGAACTACTGCAGGTCAGAACGGGTCCCCTGTCCTCCCAACTTTACAAATCTTGTTTTCCACATTAGTTTACATTTCTGAGGTTCTGGATGTTATCTCACACACTAAGGCCACGCACCCGACTTCCGGGGGAGGGGATAGCTGTGAGGCACCTCAGAGCAGCATGCATGGAAGGTGTGGCCACATCCAAAACCAAGGATGCCCACCGTTCCAGCAAGTGCAGGAGCGGGCCAGGCCGTCCTGGGGTGAACTGCTCTTATCCTGGCATCTGTCAGACACTGCGGGCCTGCACCTGCCCTATGGACAGGGGACCTCGGCAGCACGCACAACCAGCGCTGCTGCTCCCCCCGCACGCCCCGTAGGCACACGGGGGACCTGTCCATCAGCAGGTTGGCCACAGAGGTCTTACTGAGTCCCTGAGGTCTGGGTGGGGAGAAAGACAGACAGGGCTGCAAAGAAGTGACCAGACGATGACCGTTCTAATAAATGCAGACTGAGACGGGAACTGGGAGGCTGCCTCCAAGTGTGGGGGCAGAAGCACAAAACCAGTGGAAAACTCCAGAAGACACAGTATTCAGAGCAGGGGAACCCATGGGGGAAGGAGGGAGGGAGGACCCCTGGGGAGGACCCAAGAAGTGCTTTCAGAGGCTGAAGGTACACACAGCCACGATGTCAGGGGTCTTCACTGCCACCTGGCAGAATCTCTTGGGAACGTTCCAGAAGCCCCATGCCCTTCCAGATGGCACTGTCCTAGTGCACTCCAGTCCAGCTGCATCAACGTAAACAAGAAGACAGGGTCTGCTGGGACCCCAGCCTGCCCTCTGGATACCACTGCGAGAGGGAAGTCACCCATGACCTCTCCATAGGGAATCATTGGAGGGCCACCTTTTTTGGGGGGGGGGGCGGTCCTGGAAGGCTATTTCCCATATCGCTGGCCTGGGCAAAGAAGTGCCCCATCCCCCTTTAGCCTTCTGCAACACAGGTGGGAAAGGGCACAGTGTCTCGTCCTGCTGCCAGGGGACAGTGTAGGTGTGACCATGCAGGCAGAGATGAGTCACCTCTGCCATGTCTCGCTGCCCACCCCCAACACTTACTTTAGCTCAAGCGTAGCCAAGAAGGGGCCATCCCTCACTGAGCACATGGGCCACAAACGCTACCTCTGAAAGTGGAAATAAAAATAACCACTCAAAGGCAGGCTGGTCCACTCGCCAGACAGTGGCCTCTAGGCCGAGTCAGGACGACTTCATCACTCAGTGTTTGGGTCCCATCGTGGCCACCACTTTAAACATGGTGATCCCTTAGCACCCTCTGCACCCTCCCCAACCAAGGTGACCCTTCAGCGGCAGACAGGAGCTCTCCAGGTGGTCTCCTCCTGACACGCAATGCTGGGCATCATTGAAAACCCAGGGCCCCTCCCCCCATAATCCTCACGTGGCCTGGGAGTGACAACGCCCTCCGGGCCACAGGACTGCTTTCTTAATCACGTTGGGCTTGCATCAAATTGTTGAGTTGCTTTGCAGCCTGACCCATGACATTCCAGAAGCAGATGTCAGGAGGAAACCTGGCTGAGAGCAAACATTCTCTGCATCCCAAGTGGAAAAGCCACAGACAGACAATGGAGACCCACACGATGAAGACGTGAGATGGTAGGAGGTTCCTCACCCAAGCTACTGACAATGTAAAAACAAAACCAAAAAGACCCGTGGCTGATGTTACCGCCCCATACAAATGGCACCTTGGGGGTTCTGTGAGCTCCATGCTCTCCAGGGAAGCCTGGCTCAGGTTTCTCAGGCACACGTAACTGGGTGTCACCCAACGTCTCCAGGGCATGCCACCATCGCCGTCTGCCACGGCACGTTGACTCGCTACCAGCATCCTCCACTGGAACAAGAGCCCTGCGATTCCCAGGTGTGTCGTCTACTGTTCACGTCCAGTAACTGGGACAGCGTCTGTCACTCAGTATTTGTCAAGGGAAAATAGCATAAGATCAGGTCAACCCTTTCCGGGGCAAAATCAAAAACGGTGAAAACGGGAAGGAAAAAGAGGAATAGGACCGTTCCCATGCTGACATCCCACTTGGTGTTCAAACTTTCCAAAAGCACTTTTTGACGCCTGGCCTTTTGATCCAAATGCCTTAGGGAGGTAGTCCTCCTTTTGGGAACGGGCATAAAACAGAGAAGCAGCTTTGATCCTGGAGAGAAGGCCCAGACAGTCACACAATGATATGATGCTGCAGCAAAAATGAACAAATGACACCTATGTGTGACACGGAGGAATTAAATCTGCTGAATCCAAAAAAAGCTTCCAAAAGACCACACATGGTGTAAAGGCTTTTTTATAAAGTTCAGACTCAAGTAAATTAAATATAGTGTATTGTGTGTGCGTGCATGTATATATATATAGAGAGAGAGAGAGTATATGAAAAGTAGGGACGGCCCCCAAGTTCAGCAGGCACAGAGCTAAGGAGGAATAGGGTACAGAAAGGGGAAGCAGCCAGACAGAAGCTGGTTTTCAGTAACTATCCCAGATCTTGGGTCTGAATGGTGGGCTTACAGTTGTTCATTATTTTGTTTAAAAAATATATCTAAGAGGGGCCGGCTCCGTGGCCAAGTGGTTAAGTTCGCGCGCTCCGCTGCGGCAGCCCAGGGTTCGGATCCTGAGCGCAGACATGGCGCCGCTCGTCAGGCCACGTTGAGGCGGCGTCCCACATCCCACAACTAGAAGGACCTGCAACTAAGATATACAACTGTGTACGGGGGGGTTTGGGGAGATAAAGCAGGAAAAAAAAAATGATTGGCAACAGTTGTTAGCCCAGGTGCCAATCTGTAAAGAAAAAAAATATATATATATATCTCTAAGATGAAATAGGCCATTCATGGACCAATGATACAAATGGGTCATGACCGAAGATGGGTGATCCAACTCAGTGCACCGGAGTCCTTGGAAGAGAGGGAGAGCGGGAGGCAGGAACCACCTCCTTGATATGCTAGTTGAGGGGTCATCTAACTATGGCTGGAGGGCCAAATCCAGCCCCCACCTATTTTTGTAAATAAAGTCTTGGACTTGGCCGTGCCCATTCATATGTGTATCATCTGCAGCTGCCTTTGAGTGGCAATGGCAGGGGTGAGAAGTTGCCACAGAGACCATATGGCTGGCAAAGCCTGAAGTATGTACTACCCGGCTCTTTTGCAGAAAAAAGTTTGTCCACCCCTCTCCCAGTCCCTAAGTATGCAATTGGCAGATAAAACTCCACCCAGTGCAGGCTCTCCGTGGCTGCCAAGTCAGAGGTAAAGGTGGGGGGCAGGAAACTGACCAGACACCCAGGTCCCCCCACCAGTGCCAGCCCCTGAGGGAGTCACCTCTTGGCACTGGGTTGCCAGGAAACACTTTCTCTCTCTCCCTCCTGCTTTCTAATATTAAAGCGACAAGAACATTACTAAGCGATGTCCTATTAGATGATGTTGGTTTTGTTGGTTTGAAAGACCAGGAGAGGTTTTCACTAAATCTCTCCATTAGCGTCTCAGCTGGCGGCTGAGCAACAAGCGACGTCTCTTTTGACATTGTGCCTGTCTGACCTTGGATGCCCCGAAAGTCTAGTGTTTTTCTGGCTAAAACATCTGAAGTGCTTAATTTACCTGGAGTTTCCATCTGTGCTCGTGGCACATGAAAACAGCTTGGCTCAGGGACACCCTTTGTGCTATGCTGGCCAGACGCACTTACTGCGCCCCACGTGGGCTCCTGTTTTTGTGCTAAGAAGCCTTCCTAAATAGGACTTAGTTTTAAAGGCAAGATTAGAGAATAGTACAATTCCTGCAGAGGAACTTGCCCCAAAGGATGGCAGGACGATGGATAACCCATTTTAAAAGGCCGACTGGTTTCCGAGCCAAAGTCGCAAAGACACATCTCACAGACTCAGAGACCACTTCCGGCATAACGCCCGGGCATCAGCGATGTATTTATCACGGGTGGGACTCTCCCTTTTAACATATTCTCTGAAACTCTTGCAAGCGCTTCCTGGCTTCTTCAAGAAACTGCTTGTGCGACTGGTTCTGCTCTAAAATTTGCTGTTCAAGGCCACGGATCATCTGACTGTGCCTGTCGTCGTCAGCGGTGCTGGCGGCCAAGGCGGAAGTGGCACCGGGCTCATCCCCTCCTTCCTCCTCCTGGTCTCGAGAGGAGTGAGACTTCAGACAAGCCAGACAAGCTCGTGCCTGCGCCCGTCTCTCATCTTCTAGGACGGCCTGGGAGTGAGCTTCCAAGCTCATCTTTGGGGGTCCAGTGGGTTCAAGCAATTCCAGCTGCTTTTGTCTTGTCTGCTCCATCTCCAGTTTCTGCTTTTGCCGTGATGCCACCAAGCCAACCCTGCCTGCCTGGCCTTCTAGGGAGCCCTCCACCAGTGTGTCCGGTCTGGGCGCTTCTTGTCTGGGTCCTGTGGTGCACGGGAGCGGCCTCGCTTCACTGCTGGGTGTTCCTGCCTCGGAAGACGATAGTCTACTCTCACTCTTAAATGCTGGCTTGGCCATTAGACGGTATTTTTGGTTCTCAAGCTTGCTTAGTAACTTTTCCAAATTGGTTTTGGATGATGCGTGGTGGGCATCCACCTCCGCTGGACTCACGGAGTCCCCGGCAGGCACCATTTCCGTTTCTGCGTGGATGCTTTGCTTCTCTCTCTGGGTCTCCCCTCTCTGTCCCTGCATCTCCGAGAAGCCCTGTTCTTCCCTGGGGTGCTGACCCACCCCGGGCCTGGGTTCAAGGTACAAGCTCAGGTGTTTTTTCAGCTTCCTATTTGTGTTAAATAACTCTTCAAAGGCAACCTCAAGCTCTCGCTTCCACCTGCTCTTCTCACGGCACTCGCACGGGGCGGCCTGTGGTGCGGCTCCTGGTCCGCGGGGCGAGCCGGGCGGCCACCACTGTTCCAGGTCGCCCGCTCTGCCCTCGGGGCTCTCAGTCACGGAGCTGTCTCGAAGGTCTTGAAGGAGACGAGCCGTCCCCTTCCCCAGCTGCCTCCTCCCCTCTCGGGAGACGTCTTTCTCCCTGTCCTCCAGGTGCTTGGTCTCTCCGGCCACAGCCAAGAGCGTTTCCACGTCCAGGCCTCGGCTCACTCGAGGGTCCACGGCACGGCGGCCACCGCCGGTCTTGGTTGGCGGTGCTCGTTCCCCCTTATGCTTCCCTGGGGGGCTCGGGGGCGGATGAGTCAGGCCCATGGCCTTGGTGGTTCCCTGCTTCTCCACACCTACTGCTTTCCTCGGGGGCCTGCTGTGGCAGGGCTGCTGTCTCATCAGCTCTTCTCTGCGACTCTTCTCTTCTCTGACGGCCGCTCTGTGCCTGTCCCCGGCCCTTGGCGGCGAGGCTGCTCCTCGCTGGGCCAGCAGCTCCAGGTGGAGTCCACGATCCTTGGTCTGCCCTCCTCCCAGACCTAAGAGATGCCCTAAATACAGCCTTTCCAGGCCTCGGACTTGCCGGCTGGGGACCCCCTCCCACTCTGCCCCCAACTCCTCGGCCAAGCACTGGAGCTGCTGACTTTTCCACCACTTGAGATCTTGTCTTCTCTGCAGAGCAAGGTCTCCTTTTTCTCTGACTTGTAGCAATCTGTGCTTCCGCCTCAAAAGCAAGGCTTCGCCATCAGGACTAGGACTCGGCTGAGCGGCGCTCTGTGTGTTTCTTTTCATCCTGGAGACCTTTGCAGACACGGCTTCAGAGGAAAGGTGGTGTGAGCCAGGAGCGCAGGTTCAAGGGCACCCGGGGCTGAGCAGCCACGGCTGTTCCACGTCAAGCCTACAAGGGCAGGACACACGCACTGCCCGGGAGTGTTCCGAGGAGAGTGAGCAAGCCCCTGGAGACAAGGCACACAGGGCTCTTAATGTGGGGTAAGTTCTACAACGTGTCCCTCCGCCCTCCCCCCTGCCAGCCCCCTGCGAGGGCCCATTCTGTCTCCTGATTTCCGTCCTGCTCACCTTTAACAATATCCTATAGGGCAGCTGTTTTCAACAGGGTGTGGTTTTGTTTCCCAGGGGACACGTGGCAATGTCCAGAGACATTTTTTATTGTCACACTGGAGGGAGATGGTGCTACTGGCATCTAGTGAGTAGAGGCCAGGGATGCTGCTAAACATCCTGGAGTGCACAGGACGGCCCCCACAACAGAGTGGTCCAGCCCCACTGTCAACAGTGCTGCAGCTGAGAACCCCCAGCCCAGGAGACATGCTAGGCTTCAGGTGGAAGCGGAAGGATGCAAATGACTTAGCTACTTATAAACGAAAGGAGGAAGGGGTGGAGGAGGAGGAGCCTGCGAGGCAGGGGTGTGTGGCAAGGGTTGCAGGGGGAGGGGTGTGTGCATGAGTGTATGCAGGCAAGTGTGTGTGTGTGTGTGTGTGTGCACCAATAAGAGAGGGTGGTAAGCTGATGGTATTTCTTTTTTCATGATTCCCAACTCTTTTCTCGTGTAATTATCAGAGGCCGCCTCTAGCATCAGGAAGGGACATGTGCTTTGCCGGGCCTTCCTGGGGAAGGAGGTGCCTTTACACTAAGACTACGGAGTCACGTCTGTTGCCACTTGCCGCTGATGTCAACAACAGCCAGATCTGTGGGTTAAGGGAGCTGCTCCCTGGGCAGCTGCAGGGTGTATGGACTGCCCCTCACCTGCCACAACCCTTCTTCCATTTCAGTCTGTGTGGAGCCAGGCTAAACACCCCCGGGTCTATGGAACAGCTAACGTCAATGCACAGGCTCCCTGCCAGGCCCTCCACACGTATTCACTCAGCTCTTTTACAGTAACCTTTGAGGTGAGGAGCTGTTATCACCCCTGGTTCACAGGTGGAGAAACTGAGGCAGGGAGCAATTAAGAAATTTGACCCAGATCACACAGCTGGTGACTGGCAGAGACAGGCCTCTGCCTCTCAGACAGACCACAGTGCCTTTGACTAACCTTGGCTGGTCACACTGCCGCCGGCTTTTGTAAATTTGATCGTGCAGTTATATACTCAGAATAGCGGCTAACATTACATTCTACCAGTCTGCCGACTACCACGATGAGCAAGAGGAGAGAGAGAGAGAAAGTTGGGGGCATGAGACACAACAACTGAGATTTTCGACAAAGGTGCCACAGCAATCCAATGGGGGAAGGAATCGTTCGTTTGCTTGTTTGTCCCCCCACCAAACGGTGCTGGACAGCTGTATATTCCACTTGCAAAAAAGATGAGTTTGGATCCTTATCTCACCATGTATGAAATTATATACCACGTATAAAAATTAACTCGAAATGGATCATCAACCCTAATGTAAGGTCTAAAACTAGATGCTTAGAAGGAAACGGAAGTGTACCTTCATGACCTTGGGTTAGGCACAGATTTCTTAGATACAACACCAAAAGCACAAGCAATAAAAGAAGTTGATAAACTTGGCATCATGGACATTAAAAACCTTTGCAATGTTCAAAAGACATCACTAATAAGAGAATACCTGTGCATCGTACCGCCAACGTTAAGACCTGAATCCAGGTCACGTTGCCAACCCTGGCAACTCAATGGGAAGATGACAAATAATCCCATTTAAAAATGGGCAAAAGACTGAAATAGACACTTCACCAAAGACAGACACAGTATGGCTAATAAAGCCCAAAAAAGACGCCAAACCTCAACAGTCATCGGGGAATGCAAATTGCAGCTGTGAGACACTACTTCACATCCACTAGAACGGCTACAATTCAAGACTGACAATGACAAGCGTTGGTGAGGATGTGGAGTGACTGGAGGCCTCACGCCCTGCTGGTGGGAATGCAAAATGGTGAGCGGCCTGGGAGAACGGTTTGGCGGTCTTTGTTAAAACGGTGAAGACAATTTACCACATGACCCAGCAAGGAAAGCACGCGGCCGCACAAAGAAACGGAAGCTCCGAGAGACTCAATAACTCTCCCAGCTCACAGGGAGGAGGCTGGGTTTCAACCTGGGTCTTAAATGCCGAACACTGAGCTTTTCCCACCCCTGGGGATGGCCACAGGGTGTCCAACAGGTGCGGCGAGGTCGGGGCAGCTGTGAACGTCCCTTCATCTGTGTTGGAAGACACCTGGAGAGAATGGGGAAAGTCGCACCCCCAGACCCAAAGCCTATCCAGTGCCTGGAGCCGCTGGCCCACACCCTCATTAACCGGTGACAATCAGGAAACCTGGCCGAGCCTCTCCCCCTCTGGAGTGCCCCACCGTACACCCTGAGCCAGGCCCACCTGGGCGGGCACCCCAAAACTGCCGAGTTGGTTTTCCTGGAGACATGCGAATGAATGAAAACTTAAAACATCTGAACAGAGATCTTGGGGACAAAGTTCAGAAATGAGTGAGCTCCACAGTTTAGGAACTGAAAACCCTGTGTCACCGGCACATCCTACACCCACATGCCAGCTGCTCCACGCTGTCACCTCCCAGCACTTCCCTGTCTGCTAGCTTGAGACCAGAGTGTTCTAGGCGTCCCATCACCCTCTGGTCTCCCAGTCCTGCTCCCCTAGAGCTGATCAGGCTGCCCCACGCCGGCTGCCTTCGACCACTGGGGAAAACCACGGCCCTGTCCCCATAGAAGCCCCACTCAGAGCAGCAGGCGGGAAGGCGGGTGGACACCCATCTGGCCTCCGGCAGCGCTAAGTGGACACTGGGCCGTTCTCCTCACTCACCCCCTGCGGGCCAGCGTGTGGAGCCAGCCCGTGGCTCAGATAGCTGTCCAGCAGAAGCAGACACCTTCCACGCCACCAGAGGGGACCCTCCTCACAGGTGGCAGGGAAGCACCAGGCCGTCGGCAGTCCTCCTGCCTTCTCACCCCGCAAGGAGACTCCAGGGAGCCCTACAGCCGTGAGGAGGCCACCAGGATCGGAGGCCATGCTTCCCGGCACAGACATCAGGTCCTGCCATAACCCCCTGTGACCTCCGGTTTCTGCAGGTGTACAAGAGGCATATGCTGCCCACTCAGGGCCACTAAGGCATGACACGTATGTGCCACCGAGGACCCACCCACGGCCAGTGCTCACAGTGGGCGGTGGCACAGCTAACACATGGTGGTTGTGACAAAGACCAGGCCCTCCAATTGCTGGGGTTTGTTGTGACAATGCTGCAAGCTCCAGTGGTGCTGCCAGACCCCCAGGGACCACAACGCCCACCGTGGCGGGGTCAGGATGACGCGAAACTTCTGCACTCTATTCCAGTAACCAACACACCGATGCCATCCCCTTGGAGAGCTCGGGGTCGGCGATGGCCTCACACACACCATATTGTTGGCTGGAACCCACCCCAATGTGATCCAAGGTGTTATCTGAGCCCCTGGGACTGTGTGTGATTTCACAGACAAATGAAGTACATAGGTGAACATAAGAGGGTAAAACGGAGCTTGCTGTGTGGACATGACATCGACTACCACGTAGACCCACGTGCCGGCAGGCCCTGGTGACTCAGGCTGTTCACACACTTTGCACACACCGTCTCACCATGTCTATTCCTAGCCCCACTTTCTAATGGGGAAACCGATTCAGAGAGGTTAAGTAACTTGCCGAAGGCCGCAGAGCCGATAAGCTGTGCAGCGAGGATTCAAGTCAGAGCAGGAAGACCCCTGATCCCAGAATCTTCCCCTGAAGCTGATGTGGCCAGAGTTGGGAGCCAGAACTCCACCCTGGGTTGAGCTTTGTTCTCATCTGACCTCTGACCTCCCGTGACTCTGAGAGGCCCTTAGCCTCTGGTACTGAGTCGAGCCTTAGCGTGCTCTGCGTGCACTCACCTGAGTCCACAGAACGGAGCACCCTCTCCCTTTCCATTCAAGTATTTTACTTGAACACTGCAAGGCAAGACCTGGCACAGTGCTTCTTGAACCTTGCTGAAAGTCGGGTTCCGACTCAGCAGGTCTGAGGGAGGCCCGAGACGCTGATTTCTAAGGAGCTCCCAGGGATGCGATGCTGCTGGCCCACGGACCACACTGGGAGCAGCAAAGCCCCAGTAAAGGACTCTGCCCAGTATCCGTGTCTGGATCTGCCCCTCCTCGCCAGCCCCTCGCCCCACAGAAGCTGAGCCCACCGGTCTCTCCCCTGAGCCCCTCCCAAAGCCTGATAACCAGCCTGTCCTCCCCTTCCCCCACTCCCGTGGCGGCCCCCCCCCACCCCCGCCAGGCTGGAACCAGCACTCTAATTCAGGCAGCCACGCAACTTCCAGCATCTACAACAGCTCCCTGTTGTCCACACCGGCAAGTCTCCAAACACTGCCACAGGCCACCTGCACCACGGGTCACCTGAGCTGCCAGTTAAAATGCAGATTCTGGGGCCCCGCCCCAGACTGATCCTATCCCAGCCTTTGTGGGGAGGGGCCCAGGAATGTGCTCAGTTAACTCTCTCTTCAAAGTCAGTTGGGCAATCCCTGGCTTGCAGGCTTGAGAATGTTCCAGCAGCTCATGATCCGGCCCCCTTCTCCCAGCTGGGCATGGCTGGCCAGGCTCCTTGCCATTCCCAAATGCCCCCCACCCAGGTCCGGCACCACAACTGTGCTCATGCGGGTCCTTCTTCCTCAAACGGACGGCCCCCGACCATCCTGCCCACAGTTCCCAGCCCAGGTCCGGCTCCTCCTTCCTCCAAGCACGTCCCCCAACTTTCACAGCAGCCGGGAAAACGCTCCTGCCTTCCTCCACAGGCCCACAGACTCGGCGCGGGGTGACATGGGGTAGCACTTTTTCTTTGAAACATTTAAAAATAGATATAGAAGGGCTCCCTTTAGCTGGCATGGCCAGAGAGAGAACATTTCCATATAATTAAAGCTTACTCTTTCATATGTAAAGTTCATCATTTCTCTGTCTTCTTAGACTACAAAGAATAGATAGAATTTGACCTTTTTTTGAAAACTCTGGATTATCTTTAGGACTATAATATCGGGAGTCCCTCAAGGGCTTTTAAGACGTATAAGACAGCGTTCCTCTAAACGAATGACCCCAGAATATACTCTGGGTTTCTTAAGTTGCCTTTTTACAGCTTCCTATGTCCTCGTCCTCGGTTGCAGCTTTCCGTCTGCGGGTCTGACGGCCTCCTACCCTCCTTTTCGATACAGCTTCTCAACTGCTGCCGACTCAACTGCACCCACACAAAGCAGCTTGTTCGCGTTATGTCTGAAGCAAGGGTAGATAAGTCTGGGGCACCAACAGGCTCTTCTGAGTCAAGGACTGAGCGTCTGACTCTAAGCTTATCGATTCTAGACGTGGTCACCCACCACACCCCATCACCCACGGGGAGATGGACAAGAAGCCGTGGGGCCAGAACGCCAGCCTCCAGCTCAGAAGATCTGTAACAGGCCTGAACACCTGGGCAAACCCAACAAGACAAGACATATCGGGAACATGTCTACAACTCCCACGCGAGTCCTCAAATACGACTGTCCCAGTGCAAACGGGAGAAGGCAGCTCTCAAGAAGCAACGCCAGAGTGAAAGGCTGGAGCCGGCAGTGAGCCAGGAGTCGGCAGAGACGTGGCCACCCAGAGCCAGTGGGATCTTTACCTGCGTTGATAGAAGTGCCTGGAACAAGCCGGGTAATGGTCCGATCCAGACACCAGCGTGAAAGAGGCACTTGGATCAACCGGACGGACTGTGGAACAGGTCTGCCAACGCCCCAGGAGCGCCCACCCTGTCCCACCACACGGGGCGCTGTGAGTGTCAAACGGGAGCCTGGGAGGCATCAGAACCATGCCTGGCTCCCAGGAAGGCGCAGTCAGCCTCTCCTCCCAAAGAGACACAAACACAGCCAGTCGGTCCCACGTGCAGGGAGCCGACGGTCAGACGTGTGAATAAATAACTTTCAAAAGGTAAGAGGTGTCTATGCCTAGCAATGTCTAACCAGACGCTGTCATGGGAAAAAAGTTTCAAAATCAAACTATAACTCCTGAAATGCTTAGAAATTACTAAGAAACCTACACTAAATGAGAACTACAACTTTACTAAATAAGGGAGAAATCTGAATAACGGAGAGATGTGTCCTTCCAGACAGCATCCAGACAAAGCTGAGTGACAAGGATGGGGAGAAGGGCCAGAGCCTCAGCGTTCAGGAGGAGAATGAAAAAACAAACAAAACAGGTCACAGGAAGAAAAGTCCTAAGGAACCAAGAATGTTTGGAGCGGGGCTTGCAGGCGATAGAAAAGTCTAGAACGGCATAGGGTGGTAGTGAAGAGTATTACCTAACTGTGTGACTAGTGCAAGCTCCTCAACTCCAGGTGCCTCAGTTTGCTCATCTGTAAAATGGGGATGGTAACAGGAGCAGCCATCTATACAGATGCTAGCTCTCATCACTACGTGAAACACCCAAATGCTTGGCGAGCTGTCTGGGGAAGAGGGTGGTACTTACCGTGTGTCTCCAGCTGACTGAACTAGACCACCGAGAACACATTACAGGGAGGTAGAAATTGATGGGGTGGAAAGAAGCACTTTCTAATGGATTGTCTTGAAATCATTGGGCTGACTCAGTAGGTAGTGAGACACCCATCACTGGAGGCATCCAAGCCAAGCCCGGATAAAACAAACAACAGAAAAATTTTAAAATCCATTTCTCTTGAGTTTCACTCTCTAAAAATACATCCTGTGACACCCAGTGTCCAGCCCAGAGCCTCAGTTTTTGTCCATTTCCTGACTCTCAGCTAAGGTGCAGAGGGGTGGTTCCTAAAGCTGACTAGGTTTTGGACTGGCTGCATCAGAATCACCTGGGGGGCATGGTCGTGGTAGAATGTGAGTCCTAGCCTGGCCCCTCAGCAGGTTTTTTCACTCAAATCCTGCAGGTGGGGCTTGTGAATATGTGATGTTTAACTATCCCCCTGATGCACAGCCTGATGCACAGGGCTGGGAGAGCTCTAGAAGCCCAGGTGGCTGGGGAACCAGCTCAGGCCCATTGTGTCTCCACCACCTCCTCAACTAGCTTCACAAAGACAGACACGAAGCAGACTCTTCCAGACTTATAGGAGCACCAGCTTGCCAGGTGGGCCACTTACAGCCAATCCCGCTGGCGGCTTACGAAATGTCTCCTGACAATGTCAATCATCGGGTTTCCCTTAAACCTTACGGGTTCCAGGTACCCAGCCTAGGTCAGGACTCTGCTACCAACAGCTATTCTTGCTGCACAATGACCCCCACCCCACACAACCACATTCATCCCCAAGCCTGTCCCACCAGCTTCCACCACCCATCCTTCCCACAGACCGTAGAGGTGGGCCCCACGGAGCAGGGGCTTTCAAACGAGCCTCCTGGACATGTGGCCTGGAGACTGTCACTGGCCCATTTTCCAAGGCCCTCTTAGGAGCCTCAACAAACAGCCGGGCACAGAAAGAACCCACCCCTATGTGGGATCTTGGGGGAACACAACAAAAACCTCGGCCCTGGGCAGTCTACGTGGGGTCTCCGGGGCCCACTGACCAAAGCTGGCTGGAATCGCAGCTCCCCACCTCCACCAGAGGCCCAGCGTCTGCCCAACTGGTGAACCATGGCAGGCTGCTGCCACGGGAACGACAGAGCTGCTGTGCTGTGACATCAGAGCAGGGCTGAAGTCAGAGACAGTGACCAGCCAGCCAGAGGGTGAGCACCTGCCAGGACACCTGTTGTGGGTTCACTGATCATAAAGATTTGCCTCAAACAGCTGGGGCGATGAGCGGAGGGACGGCCAACGTGGGGTTAAGGAAGGCATCCGCGGCATTGGCTGTCCTTCCCTCCCCGGTCTGGCAGCATGGTGACCATGCTCCTCATTGTGGTGTCGCTCCTCCCAGAGCTGTTGCACTTCAGGGTCAGAATTCCCGGAAGACGCTTACCCCCCCCTTCTCCCTCAGGCAGTGTCTGCTCCCACTCGGGCTGGGGGACGCACGCTCCTCCAGGATGCCACTGTTGAGCTGAGCCAACTGGAGGCGGGGGAGGAGGAATCCTGGCCCTGGCCCCCTTTGTCACCCACCCAAAATAAGAAATCGGACACTCCTGACATCGTTACTAGGGCTGTGCGCATCCTCTACAGTTTTGACAATTAAGAAATTTCGCTTGGGGTACGTGATTTTGGGCCCCAAGAAGTCAAAGCAACTGATTCTCGGGGTTTGGTGTGCTGAAAGCAGAAAGTCAACAGCAGAAACTTGGCTGAAATGTGGGGATCTCAGGGAAGTTAAGTCTCAGGAGAGCTGATCTGGGACGAAAGCCCCAAGTTGGGGCTGGAAGGGGGCCTTGGAAAGGTCATCTGGTCCCTGACCTGGTGAGGGGCAGAAGGAATTCTCCCCACGGGAAAGTGCTCAGCCATAGTCCCCACCCAGGCACTTTTTTGGGTTCCTCTTCTTGGCCCTATAGACACAAAGTTTTGTGTCCACTCCTCTTTCCACAAAGAAAAACAGCCCCTTAGCCTCACAGTGGGGTCTTGTTGACCCACCTTTCAGCAAAGGACAAGCTCTAGGGAAGGAGGAAATAACACGCGGCCAAAAACTACAGCTTACAGGGCCTTTGACAGCCTTCCAGAATGTTCTAGCACAGCCACCACTGCTATCCTCTCCAGGCAGTTTCTGGATCGAAGACATTTCCCCCTAGCCTGGGCTCTCCTGACGACAGCTTAGCGATTCCTCGCATGCAGCTCCCGTCCTCCGCAGTGACCTGCTCTGCTCAGCGGTCCTGTCTCCCTGAGCCGCTTCACTGATGTGGGACCAACCCAGCTTTAAACGTCTGGGTCCGTACTACGGTTGACTGAATTAAACCTATACATTAGCAAACTCTAAAACTGACACGTATCATTCAAGTTCACCTTAGAAAAATTCGAAAACAGACACTTGCGCAAGAAAGTCTAATTTCCCCGAATGTTTTACATCCCAATAAAAAATAAAAATCCTCCACCATTTGGTCCCACAGAGCATCCAGAGCTGTGATTTAGCAAACCACTCCCTGCTGCTGTATGTACAGGTGTTTCTAACATTTCCCGAGGATAAACAAGACTGTGATGGATAGCCTTGTGACTAAATGCTAGCATGTGTCCTTAATTATTTCCCTGCAGAAAAATTCCTAGATATAAAGCTGTGTGATCAAAGGGAGACTCATTTTTAAAGCCCTTGATCGCGTTGCCAAAATGCCCTTCCAAGACTCTGAAGTGCTCAGGTTAGGAGGAAACATACCTATAAGTCCAGCCATTCCAAGGACTACAAGCCTCTCAGCCAGATGGAACAGAGCAACAGCAAGTCCAAGGCTGTGACGTCCAAGCCCATTTGTTAAAGATTTTTATTTTTTCCTTTTTCTCCCCAAAGCCCCCCGGTACATAGTTGTGTATTCTTCGTTGTGGGATCTTCTAGTTGTGGCATGTGGGACGCTGCCTCAACGTGGTCTGATGAGCAGTGCCATGTCCGCGCCCAGGATTCGAACCAACGAAACACTGGGCCGCCTGCAGCGGAGCGCGCGAACTTAACCACTCGGCCACGGGGCCAGCCCCTACGTCCAAGCCCATTTGCAGCGACTCGAGCCAGGATGCGGCTCCTTAGACTCCTGGCACCACCCCTCAGCAGCGCGACCTTGGGCAAGTCACCAACTGCTCCCCATCCAGGCGGGCGAGGACACTGGCCTCACCAACCTCACAGAGTCCTTGTGGATGAGAAGAGCTGTGATGTCCTTGTGTACAGAAAAGCCCTAGACAGTTGACATTTTTTTCTAAGAGACTTACGATTGGTGACTTTTGCCTGGTGGTTTTTTCTTGGCTTTCCAGAACCCGTGCACAGAATGCAAAGACCACCCTAGTTTGCTCCTCCATTCCCTGTACTGGAGCCAACTGGGCCAAGATGTCGGATGAGACGGCCCACTGAGAATCTAGGACGGGCGACGCTCATGAGAGCTCTGCTCTGACCCGTTCCTCCCCAAGTACTTGGCCCTGCTGGGGCAGGGCCAGGCTGGTCCTCTCCTCCCAGGGACTTCTGAGGATTAAAGGTTAAACGCTAGGAGGGCTGTCGAGAAAAGGCCCCAGGAGAGAGGTGTGTGCGCGTGCATCCATCAAAGCCTTTGTCCACAAAGCAGGGAGGCTGTGTGCCCCCAAAGCCGCCTGGCCAAGGGTCAGCACCCTCCTTCTGAAAACAGACACTCTTCTCTAAACACAGCAACCCACCACGAAGGACCCTGGTCCTTCCTCCGGGTGACAGGCAGTGCTGTCTCTTGAAAGCACCCTGGAATCTAGTGTCCGGCTGTGGCTGCAGCTGGGACACCCCCAGACGCCTGGCCATGGGCAAACGGATGAGGTAATCTCCCTCAGTGTGGGAGCCCGGGGGTGAGGAGCCCTCCATGGCCTAGGGCCATAGTGAGCTCAGATTTCACAGAGCAGGGGAAAACACACCAGACCCACAGCCTAAGAGCATCATGCCTTCAAGGCTCCAGGTCTAACGCTCCAGTGCACTCTTGGCTTCCTTCCAACTCCTGTCCTTGTTTTCCACTCCTCATGTCAGTGCCCCCAGGTGGCCTTGTGGAGGGTCAACCAACTCGGCACAGTGAATTCTCACCCGCCTGGAATGACCAGGGTGTGGTGGCGTGGAAAAGGCAGAGTGACAGACCATCAAAGCTGAAATTCCTACTTAGATCACTGAGAAGTGCACTTGTCCCCCTCCTGTCATCTGGCCTGCCCTGAAAGTCCACAGTCCCTGAGCTCTCGATTTGGACCGAAGGCAGGAGGGCAGCAGAAGCGAGCTGGGCAAAGCGTGTTGCAGGAGGAAGAGAGAGCTGGTCACAGACTTTAAAGGGGAGGCTTATGTTCCCGTCCCACATACATGACTTCCTTCTTGAAGAGCTCCAGGGACACAGGCCACAAGGCTTCTCAGAAGCATCATCCAGGGTCTCAAAATTCTAGAAGTGGGGGCGGGGGGGACTAACATCTACCAACCCCCTTCAGTGCTTTTGCATTATTTCACCCATCCATCAGAAATTTACGCAGTGTCTACTCTGGCAGACTCTGCGATGTTTTATCCTGCTTTTACGGAAGAGGAAAGAGGCTCAGAGAGGCAGAGAGGCAGGATTCAGAACCACTTCTAGCTGCTCCGGGCTTTTTCTCCCACCACCAACCACTTTTGTCTTTTTTTCTCTAAAATGTCGGCCCATTTCCTCTTCTGTCCTTGGCGAGGTTAAGAATCAGCTGTCGAAGTGTTTTCTAACTAACCAGGGCCTCTGACTATAATCAGCGGGGCCTCGGAAACGCCCGAGGCAGGGCCCGTGTGCTGAGCAAGGCTATGCAGGTGGCCACAACCAAGATCACCACACGACATACCCGAAAGGGCCAAACAGTCAACCCGAGCCAGTTCTGGATGCACGGACGAGACCTCAGGGTCTCTTCACCCGTGGAACATTCCACAACAGAAATCCAAGTTTTTGCCTTGAAGTTCATTTCTCCCTCTTCTAGGCCACTTTGCTCACAGGCTCAAGAGCCCAGAAAAGGTGGGTGGCTTCACTGTATCTTCAGGGTCAGTTCGGAGAAGAATACCCCACAGGCATCATTTCTTCTCGAGTTCCCCTGCTCCTGGAAAGCAGGGAGCAGGCAACCAGGTGAGAGGCGAGCTGGCATCAGGAAGTTCACACCTGAGCAGTAAGACCTCCTGACTTCACCCCGGGGTCAGAAGTTCTTGTAAAGGGCCAGAGAGGAAGTGCTTTAGGCGCTGCTGTGCGGGCCACGTGGTCCGTGTTGCAATTACTCAACCCTGCTGCTGTAGCTCAAAACAGCTGTGGACACTGCATTACAGATGGGCGTGGCTGCATCCCAGCGCAATCGTATTTCCAGCAACAGGCGTTGCTGCTACAGTGGGTGCAACTCGCCAAGCCCTGAAAGGCCAGCGGAGTCTTAGGAGGCCGGCCGACCACCCGCCATCACGTGCCCCCCGCCATGAGGATGGGAAGGACACAGCCCCCTGCACCACCCGAGCCTTCTCTGGGAAACACCAGACAAACCCAGTGCAGGGCCCTCTGGAAGCTGTCAAATATAAAGCCTCCATCTCAGAGGACAAGACAAAGGAGGCAGCCCTGGGAGAGAGCCTTCTGTCCTGGCACAGGGCGCTCCCTCTCACCTGCAGCCTCCCTTGGCCTCTCCCGCCTCAAAGAAACCCTCCGCCCCGTCTCTCCTTCCACAGTGCCTTTTGACTTTAGAGTCATTACACAACTAATACATTTGATCACAGAAAATTTAGAAAACGCAGATATGCAAAAAGAAAAATCACCTTGACCTCACCAACTGCCTAGAATTTTGAGGGACATGCTTCCGGCCTTTTCTCTGTACATACATTGAACTGTGTGCACTTTTTTTTTAAAGGAGATATAAAGATACATGCAGAAGTGGTAAAACGACACAAAGAAAAGCCAGGGAAATTTCACCATAAAAACCAGGACAGGGGTTATCTCTAAGGGAAAGCGGGGCGGCAGGGGGCTGGGGACCAGGA